ATAAATTTTAGATCACAGAATAAATACATAAATATTTACTTAGGAGAAACAACCAATAAATTGCATATGATATACTACAGTAGTAAATGACAGGCTCTTTTCAATGAATAATTTAAAAATCTTTTTGTGGTCTTTTCAAGGAGCCTAGTTTTTGAATAAAAATTGCTTCAAATTTGAGAAACGAGGGTTTAAAATAAGACAAACCAGATTTCTACAATCCAGTTTCTGAGGCTCATAAGGTGAGCAGGCTTCGAAACGGTGCGGGGCTGAGTCCCTGTGGGAGCCACATGGTCCCTGAACCGTCCGAATCATATTCTACATTCTGTAACATGCGGAGGCACAAAGCATTCGTGAGTTACGCTTTTCAAGCAAATTATTGCGCAGGAAGAGCTGTCGTCTTCAGAACTCCCCTTTCTAAATGATTAGAACAGGCCTTAGGCAAACTGTGACATTCGCTTGTTTCATGCATCTCCCCTTTCTGAGCGTCATTCCCATGAGAGTCTATTCATCACTCTCTCCTCTCTGTACCTAATGCCCTCTGCAGAAGCCTCATGTCCTCAAGTTCACGTCCCTCTTCCCCATCAGCAAAACTTGCTCTTGGATCACTCAGGCTGAGGGAAAATGACTAAGATCCCAAAGTACGAGGGGTGTCTTGGTGTCAAGGAGAAAGAAGGATTTTCGCTGAAGGGATGAGTCTTGGAGATAACGGGATAACAGTTGACTGTCGCACGTCGGGGAGTGGCAGGGAAGACGATTTCAGGAATCAGAAGTTCTTCACATCTCCCATCATGAGACCAGCCCTGCACGCCACGTGGTTGGAGAGAGTCGTGTGAAAGGCTCAAGACACCAGAAAACAAACAAAACCACTTCTTAGTTCCTAAATAGGATGTAGGTTTACCAAAGAGGACAGGAGAATTGTTTCCTGTTTCCTGAACCTGAGCCAGCTGACAAGGCAAAGGAGTTAGATGAAGTGGCTTGGTGTTGGTGACTGGCAGGGAAAGCTCAGTGTGGAACTGCAGTGGGTACCAGGATGGGGTGTGTGTGCACGCGTGTGTGTGCACGCGTGTGTGTGTAAACACAAGCGTGTGTGTAAACACAAGCGTGTGTGTAGAAGCCATTTCCGTCGCCTAGGAAAAGACACTTAAACCCTCCAAAGTTACTGTTGCACTAAGAAGGAACTATAAACTTCAACATCATTTTATCACTAAATCGGGTCATATCTGAGGGGCGAGTCACATCTGAGAGAGGAGCCAGTACCAGTGAACTCCTGGGAAGGTCTCCTAAGGCTACTGATTCTCTTTATGGCACTGATAGGCAAGGGGTTTGTTTTAACAGACATGAACAGGAAAAACGAGCTGTCAAGAATTCTGGCAGTAGTAACTGAAAAAAAAACTAGAAAATGGTAGAAATCAGAGTTTCTTTGTCTCATATACAAAGTTAAAATGAAAAAGTGAAAAAATCTAAGTATTGTCTTATATTTAGCAGTTATGTAAATTAAAACAAACTGACCTTACTTTCAATTACTAAAAAAATCTGCTTTGAAATGATTCCTGAATATGAATGCATGTCACATTAAAGATCAGAAAACAGAAGAAGACTCCGTTTAATTTCCACAGGCCAGTATTGGTATTATTGATCATTATTCATGGCGAGAAAAAATTTAATTTTTTAGCATTCCATAATTTTAAATTATTTTTAACAAAAGTGGGCCTTTACTTTTCTTATCAGATGTTCTTTGCTAAGAGATGAAGACAAAAACCAGTTACTAATTCTAAGCGAGTCAGCTCCTTGATCTGCCTGATGCTTACGACTATGAAAGAGGCTTTCTCTAGAGTACAGTAGCTCCTTAATCACAAGGAGGCTGGCTCTAACATATTCTACAAAGAAAAGTGTGCCAAGCCATAGTCAGCAATCTTTTTTTTTTTTTAATTTTTAGAAGTTTGAAACAATTATTATACTTTTCATGAATTTTATGTTTCTCCTAAATCCTTTTTACTGTGGAATTCATGATGCTGTAATAGCACATTTATGAAGAAAGTATAGTAGGCTTCATATAACTTACACCGGTGACATTTAAATTCTACCACTAAATTGTTATCGTTTCATAAACTAGGAGAAAATTGCCCTGAGAAGCAGAAGAAGCTGGCAGGAACAGCTTTTCCACTCTTTGCTTTTTATTGTTTGTGATGAGCCTAATTACTCTAGTTGGCCAATTAATGGCAACACATGACAAAATTTTCCTGACTACTAAGTAACTCTCAGGTCACTAGTTTTATTACTACTTAACTAAAGTTTCCACTAATTCTCTTACCCTACTCATTCTTATTTTTCTCCTCGACCTTCCTCATACTCAGAAAACACATTTTATTAACTTGAGAGGAAGCGATACTTATAATAATCAGAGGGAAAGAAAAAAGAATGAATGTCACGCCATCAGCATAACTGTTCATCAGAAGCTGTTTTGAGAGTATTAAAACAGACAAGGGATAGAAATAATAATAGTTTAGTTTTAGGAAAACTATCGTCTATGAATAAAACTCAAAAAGGCACTAGAGATCATTTTCCAGGGATTTCGTATATCTGATACACACCCAGTGTGGGCTCATGGAAACGAGCAACTAGTAGTAAAGGGGAATCACAGAGTTACATTTCTGGACAAATCGGGTTATTGAAATGAAGTAATAATGGCATAGTTTACCTCAATAATTCTTAGGCTTTCTTTGTTGATCATGCTAGAAGTTATATAAGATTATCTGAGTAAAAAGCATTGTGACTAAAGTTATGTGACACTTTTTTTAAATTAATCATAGAATGTAAATTAGACTATGAGCTGTTTTTATAACGACCAGAGCAAATGAAAATAGCGTTTTGTACAAAAAGAAAAGGTTTTCCTGTCTACATCCCAAATCCTTGCTCTCCTCTTATCTGAAACTTACTTTTGCTTCAGATGTATTTCATACATCTTAAACCTTTGACAAATCCAGCAGAGCTATCCCTTTGAGTAAAGATCTTTGTCACTGAAATATCTTAAACTATGAACAGTAATAGCTTATGTGGTAAATATTACTAATATTGACGCTTGATTCATCAAAGAGAATATGATAGAAATGCAGATGGACAGTGGAAAAACAAGAACAATTTTTAAGTAAAAATCGCCTGGATATTTAGACCATTGGCTCAGATAGAGTATGAAGGACATGAGAACAGGTTTCATCCATTTCATGGAAGCATAGAATTTGCAGATCACTTAACATTTACTGGGCGTGTCTTCACAGTCTGGAAGTATAGATGGCTCTTATATGTGTCACTTAATTCAACCGCGTCCTTCTGTAATAGTGTTATCCCTGTTTGCAGATAGGAAACAAGCTCAGAACGATTAAGAATGTGACTTAATCCTAGTAAGTAGCAAAACCTAAACTGATCTAATTCCAGAGAAAGCTCTTTCTGCCACATCAGAAAGTGGGTCTTTAGCTTTTTGAGAATTGATAAACTCTGTGAGCTTTCTTCTAGAAAAATGCATTAAAAAGGGGCGGGGGGCGGTGATATATAATACAAATCTCACTAAATGATTGGTGTAATTGGACTTGATTCTGCTGGTAGATCTTTATGAAATTGCTTTCCTCTGAGACGATGTGCTTTAACTTTCCTAAATTATGCAAATCATAAAACTGCTTAGCTTTAAGTCTAAAGAAAAAGGAAAGCTTATTTAACTACACCTAGGTGCCAGTGTTGTCCTATATACTTGACATCTGCCAGGGTTTAAGCTAAGATGTGCCCACAAACTGGCTGAAATAACGATACATCATTCCGATAGCATAAAATGAATTAACTAAAGTTCTTACAGTATCTTACATTAAAATCCCACTGTACTTTAGACATTGCCCACAGTCAATGTGTATGATCATCTCTGCCCTCTGAAGTGGAAACACACCCATGCCAGACATTGGTCCTATAAAAGAATAAATGCTGAAAAGAAATTCAGCATTTAAAGACAATTTGCTTTGATTTATTCAAAAAAGGCGATAACAAGAATTACTGCTTATTGAATTAAAGTTAAATCATTTCAGAGTTACTCAGTTTTTTCTTCAACATCGATATCAATAAAGGTACAGAAAAGTTACATATTGATTGAGAAATACAAGCGCATAATCTCAAACAATTTACAGCCACCTAACAACCCACTGCTCCTCACAGAGCCATCACTGTACAAGGACCGAGACGCACACACATCATGTGTCACCCCTCCTCATTCGTAATGTTTTTAAACATAGGACATGACCTTGAAGAGAAAAATAACTTATATGAGACTGCCCAATGGGTAAAGGGAAGGAGAGATAGTGTCGTTTGTTTTCCATTAATGACGCTGTGGAATTTACAGGCAGATGGTCTGGAACAGGTGTCACTATAATTTGAGGAGACTGCTCCCTTAGTAACTCAGAAAACTATTATTATTTTGGAAACGCAGCCACAGAACTTTATGGCTTCACTTGCTGTGGCCCTTCATTTTACCCTAATAGCTATCTTTCTAAATCACTGATTGGCAGTCGACAGATTTATTCTCTCTCTGCCATCTCATCACAAAAAGAGACACGCGGACACACACACACACACACACACACACGAGTTTTATGTGTGACAGTGCTTGAAAAGATAAGCTCATAGTACATATACACATTGGACAATTTCTTGAAATTCTAGGTGAGGACCAAAGAAAGGAAGTAAATTTTAAAGTAAAAGACTCAGAAAACTTGCCTCTTTTGCCCTCACTTTGTTTCTTAATGAACAAAGAACCACGTTTTCTGAAGTCCTTGCTCAAATGCGAGGCCCAGACACAACCTGTTCTCTTCCGCGTAATGTGTTCGCTTTGTGAGTATTCGAACGTAGGAACTGTGAATTTCCTGAAAGTCGTTACACTGTTTAGAAGACATTTGCTTAAGACTTTAAAAAATCAAGATCTATACACAGGGAGATAATTTCTCTTTCTCTTGCTTTCTCCATTTCAGTTGGCCGAGTTTCTGAAAAGGCCGCATTGCCCCAAAGGAGAGATTTCTGGTAGAAGCCTGAAGGTCTGATCCAGGAAAAACAGTCGGGTATAGCCAATGAATTAAGAACGAAGGTTTCCACTCAGGTAGGACCACTTAATCCCTTATGTTCAACCACCTTAAGTAAAGTATGCTCCTAGCTGGATATGGTGTGTCTGCTTACAAAAAGACGGGCATAGAACCTGCCCTCCGAGGAAGCTGCTTGCGGTTCCCTTGGAGGCCGTGGTGTTTATCAGAGCGTACCTTGGAGGAAAATGAATACAATAACAGCATGATGCTTTTTTCCATTTTTAGCTCATTGTTGCCAAGTTCACTTAGGGAACTTGGTGCCTGTGGTTTAACCCCAGGGGGTTAGGCACGTGGAGCAGCAGATTAACCCTCCTGGTTTTTTCTTCTGAGACAAATCATTTTCATAGGGTGTCTCCATGGCCTTCTAGTCAATTATCAAAATTAAGGGCCACGATGGCAGCTTCTAAGTGAGGAACGGCCCAGTAACGGTAGGAGGGAGCTAGCTCGGTTCTGGCTGGGGCACAGCTGTCCTAGTCTTGGCACAAAGTGACTGCACATAAGAAGTTTGAAGGGAGGAGAACGGGGCTTGGGGAAGAGGAGATGTGTTTTTATTTACCTATTATGTCAATACCCCGCTAACAATTTCACTTTGGTTAGCGATTTGAGATTAAGACTTAGGGCGAAGGGAATCACGAAGACGCCCCATTATATGGCAAGACAAAAGACACTAGTGACATCGAGATCGGGGCCCGCCCATCTCATTGGCAGTTATATCTTCGGGGGCTAACACAGCACTTGATCCCTAATCGGTATTCAATATGAAGTCACCCGTTGGATGATTGATGGATGAACGAGTGAAAAAAGTTAATACAGTAGCAAAGGGATTTGTCCTTTGTCCTTGCATTTCCTTGTGTGTGTCCTTCTGTATTCCGAGGATCCAGCACTGTAACTGACAAGTGGAATGTAAGCAATAAAATTTGCTATAAGAATAGATGAGACCTATGATCCTAAGGATAATTCTAAAACACACACCCCATATTTGCCAGGGTCTATGGCAGAAGTATCCGGGAGATGAAAGCCTGGATCTCAGACTACTGATATAACAGAGAATGTGTCTAGTTGTGATCATTTACATAGCATCCCATTACATCCGGCCATAGCGCCTACATTAGATATATTATTAAATGACTAGAATACGGATATTAAATCCCTTCGATAAGCTTCTGTGTCATATTACTCACAGACAAGGTTTTAGAGCATTTTTATAATTACAAAGTTAAGGGCGATTTCAGGATCACTGGCTGCTAAAGTTGCTATTTATACAGCCATAGTGCTATAGCACTATTTCTCTGTAATCTGCTGTTCTGTCCTCTGCATTCCCAAAGGGAACAAGATCTAATATTTTATTAAAGAAAGAATGTAAAATTTAGCATGATGCAGCTTCCACAAACCCCCGCTCTCTACCCGTCTCGCATTTTCTAAGTGAGGTTTTCTTCCAACAATGATTATGTTTTGTTTTTTACTCTCTCAAATGTCTATGAATTTGATGAAGCCCTCTGTATACAAATAAAATCAAGAGTCTTAGGGATGAAAATAAGTTCTTAGATAAATTTATAAATTTCTACCTGAATTGAAATCGGAGTAAGTTGGCATGAAATTCTTAAGGGAAAACCATAAGGAATTCTCACAGTAGTAAGTCAAAAACAGCTGCCCATGTTTATGTGTAAATAGACTATGATCAAAGAGGAGGGTGAAGACTATGTGTGTCCAAACAGAAACTCGTCCTTTTAAATCACATTCCACGGCAGGCCACGTAACAACAGGGCAATTCAATAAGCAAATTAAAGTAATTCTCGTTTTCCACAATTTCTTAAATCAACACTTAGAAAAATGAAAAACTTATCTTCAACTCCAAGAAACCTGGGCAGTTATTAGTTAAAGCAAATATGTTGTTCTGCTGGCCTACGCCTGCTATAAATAGCAGCAAGACTCAAGACCGCCCCTGGGCACTGAATGGGCTTTCTATATATAGCTTTTCCTTTCTCTAAAGGCTTTGAGAAGAATGCTATCTTTTGTGAAAACTTGGCCTTTATAAAGGGCACATTGAAATTAAGGTCAGCGACTTTTAGACCTTAAAAAGATTTGAAATGTTTTCCTTAATCCCGGCAGCACGAAAACTCACAGCCAATGAAATGAAATATCTTGCCCAGCATCTAATGGCAAACAAGTAATAACGACGGTGCTCAAAGCTGTCTTCTTAGTTAGTCCCTTGAACATGGCATGTAATAGACTGCGGTCACTGCTTGTTTTCATTTTCCTCAACACCACGTTCCCTCTCTGCTCCACCCCTCCCGCTTTTTGAAAAGGGATGGATGATAAAATTATCTACGAACTTTATCTATAACTAAGTTTTTAAATTTTGCTTTCTGTACTCATTTCGAAATACTATTTCTATGTTAAAAACATGGAAGGGCATTTCCTTCCTTGAAACGCCCCTCCCTGCTTTTATGATCTTTTACCCTTGAACCGTTGCGTTGACAGTAAGTACAGAAACACGTTCTAGCAGGGGAGACGATGCTGTAGCAACAGGGTCGGGGGCTCAGTTGACATAAAGGGAGACGGGAAGAGAAGGAAGAGAACATAAATTTGATTGGTTTGAAGAAACTTAATGGCAAGTTTTTTTTTTAATTTTAATATTAGTTTCAAACATACAGTACATTGGTTAGACATTTATATCGTTTATAAAACGATCCCCCAAATCGCTCTTTCTCTCCCCTGCTCTCCACCTAGCCATTAAATCAATGCTGACTGCATTCCCTATGCCACGCTCCCCATCGCCATGACCGTCTCTTAATTTAAATTCCAGGTTCACTTTTGTTATTTATTTTGCCACAGACTATGGAATAAACAAAGCGACAGGATTTTTCTGTTCCACCATCTTATATTAATCTCCTAAGGATTTCTTCAAGACATTTTTAATAAATTAAAAAAAAACAAGATTGTCCATATATTATTTTTCCTGCTCATTTGTGCTTTAATAAGTTGATAAATGGCATTTAAACTCAACAGTTATGATTAATCCTGTCCCACAATTTTTCAAAGCGGAGACTGTGTGTGTGTTTGTGTGTGTGTGTGTGTGCGCACATGTACACACACATACACGCATTTGCTATCAACTAGTGTGCTGCCTTTGCAACTAATGAAATAAAGTTCTTAATAAAAAATTATTATCATCTAGACAAAAATCAGATACGATAGTGGGGCCATTGATAAATGTAAAAGTCACCCTAGGTGATTTATACGCGTAGCAAGGTTGAAGGTCCCTCTTTGAATGAAGCACTTAGATGGAAGCATAGACAAGTGGCTCTAATTTCATATCCGAAACCTGTTTTATTTAGAGTTCTTTGGCAAGTGCTTGTTCTATGTGTTTTCATAGTCTTTGGTGGTGTTATGAAAATGTCAGTCTATGTGAATTCATGAAGTAATATGCAAAAATGAAAGCCTAGAAGATAGGATGGCATGAGTTCTTCTGTTACTACTCAAGTAAGTATGGCTGACATAAACATGAGAATTAGACAAAGACATTCGTAATTCATAGCGCTGAAATAGAAAGCTTCTGGTTCCATCAGTACAGAAGCAATCCTAATTGATACAAGGCAGTGAGTTAAAAACTTTTTATTTGTTAAATATTTACGTAATACCCTGCAACGTGCATATAACCCTTTTCAAAAATTTGGAGTGCGAACTAGAAAAACAAAAACTCTTCACACTCAAGTAGTTTATACTGCAGTCAGTGAAAAGTCTCTATTCTGAGATCTTTTAATTTCTCAGTTCGGTATAACTTCTTCATCAGATAGGTTGTTTTTTATTTGTTAAAACCAGTATTTAGCACTTAAATAGCCTCTTGACAGTTCCCAATAATGAAATACACTTATAATGATAATTTCCAATACTGATGATTGATATTGATAGTAAAGCGATTTTGATAACCTACGAAATGTCATAATGTTTTCCTGGTCACTTGTTTCCTGGACAAAAATGCACTTAATATTGATCTCACTTTATAAAAGTTTCTTTTATTAATATAATGATTTCACTACATTTTTAAATCCATATTTTAAGATGTTCAGTGCACTATCTCATTATGAAACTATTTATTAATATATCCATTATATGTTCTGTAAATCTTAATATATATTCCTTAATGGCTAGATTAATACTTTCTTAATTACTTAAATTTGTTTAATTCGTACTGTTCTTCATCATTCCCTTTTTCTCTTGATTTATCCTACTGACTTCAAAAAGGTTTCAAAGTCTAAAAGTCTCATTTAAAGTGAATGTGTGGAAGATGCTTTCAATCTCATACAAGAAGGTAGAGAATAGTCAAACTTTGTGCTGTAACTCATTCCATAAATAAAGAGCTTCACCAGGAATTCTAACATTCAGATGTATAAGGATGAACAACCTTAATTATAATACTGAGCAAGGACATTTTCAATAGAGAAAGATATTAAATACTATATAGAAAACTAGTATTTGTAAAGCAGATAAATTGGCAATGATTATACATATATTTAAAGTGTGTTTGAACACAGTTATAGCAACTGTTTTTCTTTTTGACTGAAAAGAGGCATATTGGAGTGTTTAAGCACTATTTCTATTGGAATAGATATTTAGACACTACGTAGAAAACACTTGATTGAAAAAGAGCAGATGTGAGCATGTGTGTGAACGTGTGTGTTTTCCATTAATGCCTTTCCATTCAGACAGGAAGGAAGGCCAAATTTACTTTAAATGTGGCATTGTGAGATGTTAAATTGCATCTCCTTAGGCTTTGCTGATGTCGCTGTGCCTTTAGCTAATTCACCAGAGGACCATCTTATTGTTCATCCAAATTAGAAATCAAGAGGTGACACCTGGATTCTCTTCGTAGAGTCCCCCACCTTCATGCTCCCCACTCAGTAAGTCACCTGTCACTGGCCCTCCCACACCAGATACTCCTTTCAACGCAACCTACTCTCTTGCTCTCGGGCCTCACCCTCCGAATGAAGTCGCTTCTAGTTCCCCATTCTTAAAC